AGGGCGCAGCTCAGCTCTAAGTCCAGTCACCACTTTCAGTCTAGTTGCTGGGGCGGGGTGGGGGGTGCGTAGCTCACCATCCCATGTGGGAGTCGAACTGGAAACTTTGTTGCACACTGAGCTATCTGGCCTCCCATCGTCAGCTTGTGGCTGCTCAGCTCAAGGTGCTGTGTTCAATCTTAGTTGGGGGGGGAGGGCGGGGGGCGCAGCTCACCATCCCATGTGGGAGTTGAACTGGCAACCTTGCTGCTAAGAGCATGTGCTGTCACCAGCTCAGTGGCAGCTCAGCTCAGGCTCAGCTCCCTGGCCCATGTGGGAATCGAACCGGCTTCCCTGTTGCTCAGAGCTGGTGCTCTAACCAACTGAGCCACTCGGCCAGTCCCTTCACACCCATTTATTGACCACAGATTCTGATCTATGCATTAGTGAAGCACTAATAGAGGGTACATTGCATGCCCTCCCCCCAACGTCATGGGGTGGGAGAACTAAAGTATTGAAAGGGTGGTACTAAGAGTTGGAAGTACTTGAAACCAACTGCATACGTTGTAAACCATAGCCCATGATTGCTTTGGTTCTGTGGTAATGTAAAGATCACAGATATGCCAGTGAGCTGAGAAAGAAAAGCAGTGAGGAACTACAAGCCTGGATGAGAGCGTCCCAGGGCTTGGAGAAACCTTGCTGTCTTAGTACCCCGTGGTGTTTTCAGGACCACGGACAGCACACGTCCCACCTTGCTTTCTTCAGCCAGCACATGGAAGCTGGAACTCGCAGAACGCTGTGTATATATTACTTATTTGGCTGGAATGTTCCCCTTCTCCACTTTTCAGCTTCATAAATTTCTCATATTTAAGAATCCAGCTCAAACGGACCCTCTTTGATGACGTAACAACTGTCTTTCCCGGTTGTCTCTGTAATAACAGCATTAGTTCTCTGATATTCGCCAGATAGCCGTGGTTGCTAAACTAATGATTTTGACGTAAATGATGGTTTGATGCGAAAAGCACCTCTCTTTTTTTCTGAGACTCCCCAGACCTTAACCGATTTTCTATTCCTCTGACTTTGTGGTGGAGATGACAGATTTTATTTCCGCCGTGCAGTGGGGAGAACAGAACTCAGGGAGGTTTAATGTTTTACTCTGGTAGTGGAAGAAATTCACTGTGACCCAGACCTCCCCTCCTAGTTGAGGCTGATTGTTGTATGGATAGGAATGCCTGAAGCTCGAAAGGCTAAGTTTTGTAAGCAGTACTCAGCATAATACCTAATGTTTGTGAAGAGAACATAGGCAACCTGCCCACCCCAGCTGTCTCCTCCCAGTTGGTGCTGGAAGGGAGATAATAGCAGGTTTGGAGAAGCCCCTCCCTTCCCTGGGCCTCTCCTGTGACTCACAGGGCAGCTGGCGGTGGAGACGCAGTTCCTGCCCAGCACCAAGGGTTAGCTGGGCCCTTTGTAAGAAGACCTGTCAGCATCACCTGTATCGTACAGGCTTTGCACGAAGCAAGCTCCTGTTCCCAGGCAGCAAGCTTAGGCTTTCGGAGAAATATGAAAGCAGCAAAGAGTGTTTCCTGTTTTCTCTGGTTTGTTTTTTTTGTTCCCTCCTTTCTCCCTTCCTTCCTTTCTGCCACTCCTTCTCTTTATCACTTTTTAAATCTCACTCTTCTTTTCTCTCCTCCTCACTCTCTTTTCAGAATTCTCTTTCTTCTTCCCCCCTCTTCCCTTGCCTCCTGTCTGTCACCCCCCTCTCCTCCCACTTGGCCGGCATTTGCTGAATTCAGCGTAAGCCTCCTGGCGGGTCCCTGGGGATAAACATGAATTGCACAGAACTCTGCTGGCCGTGAAGGGATGGCCAGCCCAGCAGCAGATGGGCACGTGAACAACGACCATGAAGTCTGATGAGTGTCGTGGGGGAGAGGGGTGTGCAAGAGGCAGTGGGGACATGGGGGAGGCACCCCAAAGTCTATGCTTGGGGGAGTCAGTTACTACCAGAAATATCTACTCGCCCTGGAATTACCACCTTATAGAGAGTTTAATATTTTGCTTTTTCACCTTGCATTTTATTGCTCAGCACTTGTTTCTTCTTCAAGATTCGTGGGAAATACTTCAGTAGCCGAATGGTGCCCATTAGTGGTGTGGTGCTACAACTGTGATTCACGCAGGATCACATCTTTGTGTGTGATTTTTTTTACCTTGCTTGGGGTATTTTCCTGTGGATGAATTCCCAGCACTAGATTTCTGGGTCAAAAGTCATGAACAACTTTAAGGCCCTTGATGCATTTTACAAACTTGACTGATACTTATTGTGAAATCCCAGCTTTGAGGAAAATGTAAAGATGATCAGATTCCCCTTTTCCACTTCTGCCCCGTGTTTGCATGATGTCCTAGTTCAGAAACGTTTGTGTGTTTGATATCTTCTCTGATGAAAACCCTTCCACTACCTTGCGACCAGCCCAGACTGCCTTCCACATATGGCATTAGCGTCCCTCGGAGACCCTGTGAGCTGGCACCTAACACACCTCTTCAGGTTCCCCACTGAGGTCATTCCTCAGCCGGAGGAAACCACTTACAGATCCCCATGCACGCCGCGTGCCTTCCAACCTCTGCCTCTCCCCCTGTATCCGTCTGCAGGCCTTTCTCCTCCTCTCCTTCTTTAATCTCCGAAGACCCGTTATTCCCCTGGAGGGGCTGGAGTGGAGGCCTCCTCGGTGCTCCTGCCAATCTGCACATCCCTAGGTGCTGGGCCTCCCCACAACGGGGTCCAGAGGCTTGCTATGACTCAGTCTCCCCCACTGGCCTGAGAGCCCCTGGAGGGCAAGAACTGTTCCATGTAGCTGCACCCTCTGGTTTCTTAAATATTTATTGAATGTAGTCTCTGCTACAGGAAATGGCAAAGAATTTTTAATTAGCTACTTTATTTTGTTTAAAATATTTAAATAGTGATTTTTATATAGAGCGTTTCACTGTTCATATATGTTACGTTTGCTCCTCGTGGTTATCTCTGAGAGGTAGGGTATTATTATGTTTCTTTTAAATGTGTGACTTTTATTTTGTTGAGTTCTTAGAAATTATGTCCTAGAAAATTGACTTTTTTGGGTCAACGGTTCTGAGAGTTTTCACACTTGGATTTCCTGCCTGAAGAAAGGGGGCCCTAGAGAGTCAGGTCCTTGGATCCCAGAACTCATTTTTTCCCTGAATTGAAATGGCTGATGGAATGTCATGGATTCTAGAGTGTGGAAACGTTTAACAATGTGACAGAAGTGTGCTTGATGGACAAAAACGCTGGAGAGGGAGTTAGGAAAACCTGGGTCTAACCCGTGCCCTTGTTAGTTATGAAAACTTTGGAGGTCCCCCCCATGTCTCAGCCCCATTTCCACCTGAGGTCAGATCAGACCTAATGCTAGTGTATTAGGACCTTTCAGCGCAAACAGGCGTGGAGCACACACCCTTGGAAAACACACTTGCTAAAATGTCTCCTACGGAAAAGTCTCCTAGTCAAATTTTTCACGAAAGGATCTAAGTTTGGAAAAGATGTAAACTCAGTTGGTCATAAAGACCATCTCTGCTTCTGTTTAACTCAGAATTTTCTAAACTCATGACACCTGGGAATCCCCTTTTGGGACAACATCTACTCAAACTGCTCTGAGCTAGAGTTCCAAAGGGCATGGCTTTGAAAATGCTAATTAACAGGCATAAGCACTACTAATTTTAAGAAAAGAAAAATGAGAGAGTCATACCAGCTCTTGCCTTATTGTGGGCCTATTTTTTTAAGAAAAATACTGGCACCTGAGAACACCAAGAGTGTGGACTCCTGGCAGTGCCTCACACAGTAGCTGGTGGTAGTTGGGGAGGGGATGGACTTGAACCCAAGCTACACCATCCGATTTGAGGAGCAGAGCAGGGTGGGGCTGATCTTCTGGCTCATAGCATGTTTAGTACCACCTTCTGGGCTGAGCCTGAAAAGCCCTGTATTAAATGTGACAGGCAGACGGCTGCCTGCGGGAGGCCGTGTTCAGGAAGCCATGCGCTGGCTGCTGATGACTCAACGTTTTCTTGCTTTCTGGTGCCAGGGGAACCTGCACACCAGATTGTCTCTGCTTCTGAACACATAGAGCCCGTACCTCCTCTTCCCCTTCATCCTGGAGTACCCTCCAGAGGGCATCCTCCCTGGGGGTGCACACGTCCTGGCTGCCTTCTGTCTTAGGGATAAGAGGCAGGTATTGGGCGTGGGAGTGACTGAGCTTGAAGCCCCTTTCTCCAGAGACCTTCCTCCTGGGGAACGGGATGTGCTGATGCGTCCACTCATCCATGCATCCATCCACCCATCCATCCATCCATCCATCCACCCACCCACCCATTCATCCATCCATCCACTCATCCATCCATTCATCCATTTATCCATCCTTCCATCCATCCATCTATCTATCCACTCATCCCATCCACCCATCCATCCGGCCAGGGTGTGTCCGAAGTATAGGAGATGCAGCAGTGAAAAAAATAGGTGAAATCCCTGCCCGCATGGAGCTAGCAGTTCCATAAGGACAGCTGCAGCGCACACCTCTAGGTGGCGCCATCCACCCACATCAACGTGTATGCGATTTGTGCTCCCTGAGTTGTGCCTGACTCAGCCAGTGGTGTAATATACCACAGCTCTGATATCAGGAGGGCAATTCACATTTTGGACCAACATGTAAATATATAGTATGTCAGACATACTATCATAAGTACCACGTAATCATAAAGTGGGTAAGGGGTGTGGCATCTGCTGGCAGGGCAGCGGTGTGTGGTTTCCCAAACAGGGCAGGCAAGGGGAGGACTCTCAGGTAAGTGCCACTGAGCTGACACCCAGAGCAAGTGAGAGAGTGAGCTTTGCCGAGATAGCGTCTTGCTTTTTTTATGCCATTTTTTACTTTTGAAAATAGTTGAATAATTTTATATGAAAAGTCAAAAAGAAAAATAGAATCCTAGCTTCTCCCCAATGACACTTAATACTTTGCTTGGCTTTTCAGAGTGACCGACTCCTCATCAAAGGTGGACGAATCATCAACGATGACCAGTCCTTCTATGCCGATGTCTACTTAGAAGACGGACTGATAAAGTGGGTTGACCAAATAGACCTTTTAAGAAGCCAGTCGCCCTCGGCTGCTGGCCATGGAGGGAATGGAAAACTGACCTTCTGTTCCCAAATGTCTGTGCCGTGTTCCAGTGACTATCAGGGATGGAGAGATTCGGGAAGGGTCGAATACCGATGGAGAATGGACTAGCATTTATTGAGTGCCCGTCCCCAGTGCCAGGCTGTCTGCCAGAGCGCTCTTGCAGGCCAGCAGGCTGTGAATTCGCATGCTGGTCCTTATCTTATGGGAATGGCAGGCGAAGAGGTTCCATCTCTGCCCCACATGATAGAACCCGTTAGTGGCAAGGCACGAATTCCCACCGAGCGCCTCTGACTAAATTCCTAGCTCTTCTACCTGCCCAGCATTTCCAGAATCGGGTGGAGGGGGCCTGGAGAGAAAGGAATGTGTGGCTGCCAGACAGCCTTGCTGCTTAAAGGAAAGACATGCATTGGGGCTGACGTCGTCCCTCGCTTCCTCCCTGTCAGCTCCGTCCCCAGCCCTCCCGTGACATCTGCTCAGGCCGCCATAACAGGATACCCCAGACTAGGCGGTTTAAATGAAGTAACTTTTATTTCTCCCAGTTCTGGAGGCTGGAAGTCCAGGGTGTGCTGGCAGGGCTGGTTTCTGCCGAGACCTCTCCTTGGCTTGTCGACCGCGCTCTTCTCACTGCGCCCTCACATGGCCTTCCGGTGTCTCTTCCTCTTCTTGTAAGGACACCAGTCCTGTTGGATTAGGGCCTACCCTAAGGGCCTCATTTTAACTTAGTTACTTCTTTAAAGGCCCCATTTTCAAATACAGTCACACTTTCTGAGGTCCTGGGGGTAGGGCTTCAACATAGGAATTTGGGGGTCACAGTTCAGCCCATAGCAGTGTTTCTGAAAGCTTACAAAGCTAAGGGGACTTGTCACTCTGTCTCGCTGCAAATACTCACCTCTCTATCCCCGAGGCTGTTGCTAAAAGTGTGTGAAGCACTCTGGAGTGATGGGCTGTTCAGAGGACCCTTTGCCACTTGATGGAGACACTGGTCTCACGTCTGTTGGATTCAGCTCTGCCGCCACCTCCCCCTGGAAGCCTTCCCAGATAACCAGGCTGGTGAAGCAGCCCATCTCATGCTCCCCGCCCCCTCTGCTGCACTGGATTGTAACCATCTGCCTGTGTTCCTTTTATTAGGCCATGAGCCCCTTGAGGGCAGAGACCTGCTTGAGTTATCTCTGTCACCTCAGTGCCCTGCATAGGACCTGGCTCGGAACTGTTTATCTAATGGAACTGAGGCTGCACGGGTGACTGCCATTTTCTTTTTCTTTTGAGAACCAAAGCTGTCTCTGTTGTTTGTCTCCAGACAAATAGGAGAGAACTTAATCGTTCCTGGTGGAGTGAAGACCATTGAAGCCAACGGGCGGATGGTTATTCCTGGAGGTATCGATGTGAACACATACCTGCAGAAGCCCTCCCAGGGGATGACTGCCGCTGACGACTTCTTCCAAGGGACCAAGGCAGCGCTGGCAGGCGGGACGACCATGATCAGTGAGTTGTACCCCTGCCTGAGGGACATACCTGTGACTGTATCACCAGTATCAACAGCAACACAGAAGTGCCCAGTGTACACCCAGCACGTTGCTCAGTGCCCCATTTAATGTAATTGTCACTACAACCCGACCGTAAACACCAGCATAGAATGTGTGCCACTGGTGGTACACAAAATGATTTTAGAGGCAAAATTTTAAATTATTTTAATGCATATTGAAATAAAATAGCACATCATGGATGTTACTGCTCAGGTTGAGACTGAAGTCAGAATTTAGGTTTTTAGAAACTGAATTGATTTAAGAAAAGTATTAAGTGAAGAATGATATAGATTATAGGGAGATAAAGTAAACAATTCCTGAACATAGTATACAGATGGCTCAAGTTCTGGAAGCCGTGACATAGGTATTATTATGACGCATAGGGGAGTAGAGGCTCCGATAGGTCGAAGTGACCTTGTCAAGGTTACACAGCTGGGAAATGTTGTATTAGTCAGCATTGCTGCATAACAAAAAGTCCCCAACAGTGGACTAGTGGGAAAGAGTTCAGGACGCTGTGGGGATCTTCTCCCCACCACTTACCAGCTGTGTGACCTTGGACAAGTTCCTTACCCTCGTGGAGCCTCAGTTTCTTCATCTGAAAATGGGGATATTCACGTCACCGGATGGTTGTGAGAATTTAATGGGATGATTTAGGTAAAGCCTTTGTGGCAGTATCTGTCACACAGTAAACATTTGATAAATAGGGATGATGATGATGATGGTGATGACAATAACAGTAATGATGGTGGTGACGGAGGCGATGAAGACTAAAGATGGTGGTGAGGGTGTCACTGCCGATGATTATGATAATGATGGTGACGATGATGACAATACTGACAATGATGGTGGGAATGATGATGAAAAGGATAGTGATGATGACAGTGTTGATCTTGATGGAAGTCGTAATGGGGTGGTGGTGATGGTG